TGCGCATCGTACGCCTCGACGCTGCCGTTTGAGAGACCCATCCACACCTGCGAACCTTTGCTTCGCGTCGGCACGGTAAGCAGCGACCAGATGCGTGTGGCGCACGTTGGCCGCGGTGCACTTGCGAAGCGGTGGACAAGTTCCGCAGTGCGTCCTTCCCGCACCTCCACTCCGCCGTCGGCCGTGGCGAGCCACACGTGGTCAGGGGTTACCGCCATTGCCACAGCGGGTGACGAGACAGCCATTACCTTCCCTTCTGGCTTGAGGTTACCCGCGGCCTCCAGCACCGCTGTCATCTTGTCAATCTTCCTTTTTTTCCCCTCTGTCTCTCTCTCTCTATAGATATATGTATATATTTGTGTATGTATTCAGTGCCGCTAAACGGCAGCGACGTGGTGAATCTATGTATTTTTCTTCTTGTCTTGTTAGTCCTCTTCTCGTGGCACCGAGAGAGAGAGAGAGAGAGAGAGAAGAAATCACGTGCTCGCCCTCGCGGTAATATTGGATGCCGCTGGGACGAAAAAAAAAAGAGCCTCGACACGAATCAGAAGGGCTCACGGAACCTATTTTTCCACATTCGGCGGCCGGCTCACCTGTTGCTCTGCCTTTTTTTCCCTTTGTGCTTTCCTCTCGCCCCCCCTCCCCCTCTCTCTCTCTCTCTCTCTCGCATTTCCCCCTACTCTGCACTGACACCCTGCCTTCTTCCCCCTCTCTCTTTGGCCCTTTCCGCCGCCATTCGTCGCGCCCCACGCACTTGCCCACGTGCACCGGCTACCCTCGGCGTGCCTGCTGCGGGTTCATGCCGGACCCGTATACCACGTGGCCTCCGTCGGCTGCTGCAACCGCGCGCTCGTCGTCCCACCGCGGGTCGTCGCGCGCGACGCGTTCCTTTCCCACCACGACGAGCACACGAACCGGGTCCACCACGACAAGCCCCAGACGGCCACGGCGGCACAGCTCGGGGGCGATGAAGTAAAGTGTCTGGCAGCGCAGTGTGGAGCCACCCGGGTTGGGCAACCCACCCCGGCCAGGATCACTGTATACTATAAAGTCATCGAGCAGGTCGGGCATGCGCAGGATCGATCGCAGAAGTTGCTCCGCCTCGTAACGGCAGATCGAAAGCAGCACGCCGCCAAAGTAGCGCAGTGCGAGATGGTAAGAGGTACGACTTTCATTCGTGGTGGCGCGGGGTGGCGGCCGCCGCTTGGCACGGCGAAGCGTCTGGAGTAGAGCGAATAGAAGTAGCTCGTCTTCTTCAGGAGTGAACTCTTGTACAATGATGCGGGACCCGGTGAAGTCATTGTGGTTAATATTGTCACAGAGTGTCAGATACTCGCTCGGTGAATGGAACGCAGCGGCAGCGCTGCCACTGCTGGTTCGACCGGTCACACCATTTACACCAACAAGTCCATTATGGTCAGGAGGGATAGCGCTGTTGGCATCACCCCGTAGGACTGGCCGCCATGTGCGTATCTGCAGCAGTGGGGTGACTTCCTCGTCACCCCATCCATCATCACTTTCGTCGTCCTCAGCGAGTGTCAACGGGAAGGAGAAGGCACCTTCAGACCGACCGTTCTTTTCGCGTTCGCGGAAGTGCCACTCCCGCCGTGCGTCCACAGCGTACAGCCTGCGTTCGAGTTTCATCCGCTCGTACGCGCCAAGAGATGGTGGGACTACAAGATCCGTACACAACAGCTGCCCATCGCCACGCAGGTCTGCCATATCGCGCCGGAAGTATTCCAATTGGCAACGCCATATGTTGCACCGCCTGTGCAGCAGCAGCCAGAGGTGGCAGCACGTGCTGCTCACCAACTGCACCTCCCGGAAGTTGAGGAATGAGGTGATAACATCCCACACATCGCCTGGGAGGCATCGGAGCAGCGCAGGGGCGCCACAGCGCTGCAGCTTCCCGTTCTCATCCTCCACTTTCACGTCGAGCAGCGGGACAGCGTCGTCGCCTGGCTTGTCATCCGCATTGTCGCCGCGCACAGCCGCCACCGACGCGCGTGCCTTCTGCGCCCATGTCACTTGCACCGCGCCGTCCTCCCATAGCTTACTTTCATCCATCGTGTTTCGTCTAAGCCCCAAAAGCTTATTTTGCTCCTTGCGTGCTGTGCCTGCTATTCCGCTTGGCCTCCTCACTTCACTCCCTCTCTCTTCTCTTCGTCCCACGCACGTTCCTCCCGATAAGAGTTTTGACTGCGTGTCTTGCGTCTCCCTAACCCCGGCAACGCCGCGCGGCCCAATACACACACACACACAGACGCCGTCGCGGCCGACGGTTGCTGCAGATACGCTCCCCCACCCCCAAATCACGCAAAAAGCAAACAAACAAGAAAAGACAGTAGACGTCACAAAAATAAATAAAGAAAGGATAAAACGAGACTCCAGTTGCAAAGAGTAGAAGAAACACGAACAGTGGAACCCTGCACACACGCAAATGCAATTGTGTGCTTCCCCCCTCCCCTCGATTCTCCTCCCTCCAGAAAGCACGGCATATGATTGTAGGCGGGGTGCCAGCACGGCCAGCACCCCACCCCTGATGCGCAAGTGAATCCCCATCGCCACAACCACCTGCCCAATCCATCTGTCTTCTGTTGTGACCATCGCTGCTGCTGTTGCGCACCCCCCCCCCTCCNTCCTTCCCCACATTCCCTCACTCGCATTCATTTTCTCGCGCCGCAACCAATCCTCCTCCAGCGCCAATCACTCGGGAGCAACGGATGAGTCGCTCCTGGACTTTTTTTTCCTTTTTGGCACGCCGCTGCTTTTATTGCTCCTGGTGTTATGGGCAACAAAACAGTGCGCCTCCAGTTTATCAATTGTACTGATTACAAAAAAACACCCCACCCCGTCTTCTTCCTTCCCAGTCCGTCCAAATACACAAAGACACACACGTGCACGCAATCCAGAGACTGTAATAACAGCAACAAAAAAATAAAAGATGGTGAATATGAAACAATCCATCTTCGTTTTTTTCTTTTCCGCCCTCTCGAGCTCACAGGCGGTTAAATCCAGGAATACCAGTGGGTGAGTCCCGCGGCGCCAACTGCCGGCGTTTCAGCGCCGTTGTTGGACGGTAGCGGTTGGCGATGTGCTGCCACTTGTACCAGAGCTGCCGGTACACACGCGGCCGGAAGACGCTGTTCATCTCGCTAGGATGCAGACCTGCGGAGTATGGGATCGGCACAGCACGCTCCGTCTCAATGTTGCGCACTGTCTCCTCCTCCAACATCGCCTGCAACTCATCTGGGAGGATCCTTTGGTCCCCGCGCAGCTGCAGTGTCGCAAATGTGTACGCGGTGCTCCGTCTCTGCTGCTGCTGCTGCTCCTGTCTGGCAGGCACTTTGAACACGTCGGCCTCCCACTTGTCTTCGTAGCCCTGTACACCGCGCTCCGCGGCGATGCGGAGGAGCTCGCTGGCCTCGCGCGGTCGCATGTTGCGGACGAGACAGTCGTGATAGAACTTCACCATGGTCGGGTGCAGCTGCCGGTTCTCTTGCAGCATTTTTTGGAACAATTGACTCGCCTCCCCCAGGCGATTGACGCCTGGAATTACCATTGTAATAAGCGCAGAGTTGTGCATTGTGTCGGTGGAGTCAAATCCATTAGCTTCACACGCCTCTAACGCCTCCAGCGCGACGCGCCAGTGCTGTATCTTTTCCAACTGAGGATTTATCCGCAAATCGTAATTCCATCCATGGTCGGCGTTTGCCATACCGTTCACGATGTAGTAGTACGTCGCTCCGTTGGGCTGCACGTTGTCTTCCTGCATCGAACGTATCACGCGCACAATCTCCAGCGCCCGACCCCACAAGGACTGTGAGAAGAGCACAGTGTTATAGTGCTCTCGTGTCAGCCGGTAGCCTACCATGCGGCCCTTCATAGCGAATATCATCGTCTTCTGCCACGACGTCGTCCGAGACATGCGACGAAGAACGCGGAGGAACTCGGTCGGGTCCCGGCGCACAGGATCCGTCATGGCGACGAAATCGTTCTGCTATCTATGTGCAGATTTTTCGGACAGGTGTAGGTATATATTTACGGCGGTTCAAAAGGAAATTAGGGAAGGAATACAATTACAGCAGCTTCCAACTAAAGGCAGGAGGAGGGGATACAAACGCACACAGACACACACGACAAACCACATTCGGTCCTGCACACCCTCACCAGACTCCCACCCGCCACCTCATAGTTTTGACAGCAGATAGCCGGGAACGGGGCCCACCAGCAGCCATAATAGGAGCGGCTGCGGATCTACAAAAAACGCCCGCTTGTTTTTGCCGCGCTGCTGCCACGACGAGATCAGCGCACTCACCTCCATTGATCGGTATGCATGACGGGAAGGCGTGCGGCTCATCACATGCTGCTGGAACTCCGTGCTCGGACTCCGAAAGAGCGACGCGGGAAAGGTTGCATTCATCACACGATAAAGCTTCTTCCGGTTCTTCCACTTCATCTCCGGGTAAAGCGGGAGAAACAGGGCGTGCCTCGCGAGCGCCTCGCACTGCGGGCAGTCGGGGAGAACGACAACCTCCCGAAGCGTCACCGCAGACCCCTGCGGCCGCTTCTCACCAGTCGTGTAATTGTTGTTGGTGTTATTGTCGCTGCTGTTGCTTGTGTCCCAGACGCGTGTGTTAGCCGCCACGGCGTCATACCCAGCTGTGCGTAACGCCCGCGCCGCGAGACCGGGGGATCGAACGCGCAGCAGCACGCTGTCGGAGTAACCAAGCACGCAACGCCATGGCGTTCCAGGTTCCCCGCACGACACCACCTCCACGTCGTTGCGCATGCGGCTAAGAAACTCCCAGAGTGAGAAGCACTCTGCTTCCATGCGCTGTTGCACGTCGGATATGGCGTTTAACATCCACATGACGCGTCCCTTGTGAGGCTTCCGAAAGACCTGACTAGTAGTATTCACATTCTCCGTCTTTTTGAAAGAGCCGCCACCGCAACTACTGTTGCTCTTGACGCAGGGTAGTGAGATCCCTTGCTCCTTACTCGGTGCCATGAGAAACTGAAAAATACGGTCAGCGCTCGCGGCGACGTCATTCTCATGTGTGTGACCCAGCCTCAGCGAACCCGTCATGAGAGACCACCACTGTACTACGCGCAGCACTAGCTGGAAGCTCATCCCGTCTGAGAGCAGGAGGTGGACGATGTGTCGCGCCAGAGCGACCCAATGCCGCCGCGCCTCGGTTGGCTGCTGCTCCTGCAGGCGTTCCAGAACCCCGCGCGCCAGCAGCGGGTCTGCAGCGCACGCTACCGCGCCTCCCAACTCCCCCACTGCGTCCATGCATGTGATGTGCACGTCAGCGTGCATCTCCAGAGACGCGGCGTGGACCCCGCCCGCTAGAAACGCCGCCGCTGTGATTGGGTGCAGTTCCACCGTCAATGCGCGAAACTCCTTGCGTGCAAGCCTTGTCACACTATCAGTATTTGTGAGAAATCGTCCCCCGACTCCCATAAGCAAAATAAGCGTCGTGGTGCTACCATTACTATCTTTATTACCACTACTGCTGCTCCTGTTGTTATGACTGGGAAGGCCTATTTTAAGTGCCTTCCGTCTAAGGTCTCCCTCGTCCACGCGCATCGTGACAAAATCGACGTCGTAGCCAACAACACACAGTCCCCACTTCTCAAACAACTCCAACAAGCAGAAGTGTGAATACATAAGCAACCCTGGGAGAAATACGGTGCTCCCTTGCGAGATACACAGATGCCTTAATATAGCCTCAATCATACCAGCGGTGGAGTCACTCACAAGCGGCACCTGGCCGTTGGGATATACACGTTGACTCAGCTGCACATCCACTGGTATTTCCTTTGGCACAGATACTTTCTTCGTATCCTTTCTGCTCAATGCACGCAGTGCTGACGCCACACACGGCGGAGGAGACGGTCTTATTGTCGCAGCAGCAGTCTCCACTGCGCGGCAGCACGCGGCGAGGCTAGAATGCGCACGGGCTCGCGGGTAGCAGTACAGCCATGGCGTGTGGCTCTGCCGCAACATGTTCAACACCTCTGCGCCATCTCCGTCCGTGTAGGATTTCACGGAGGCACCACTGTTGCCGGCGGGCTCCTCCGCTGCTTGTGACTTCATTACGATACTTTTCCTTCCAGTTCAACTTTCCGTGCCTTCCTTTTCTGTTTTTTTTTGTTTTTGCTTTGTCGTTTGCCTTTCGCTGTTGTTGAATGTTGCAAACACCAAAAGTAACAATAATAGTAATGTGTTCTCTGCACGTGTATGCGCCCGTGTAAAGGTAGGGACTCGTTGTATGGACAGTACCCCGCCACACATCGAACAGTGGCGCAGATTGCAAGGCGAAAACAAAACAAAACAAACAACAAAGAAGAGAGACGTGTTGTGTGCACCATTGGAGGCTAAACATGACTGGCCGAAGAAGGTGCAACCCGACACACACAGTACAGCTGCAGAGAGAGTACATGGCTCTACCCCCCCCCACCTCCGCTGCCGTCATCTTCGCACAGGGAGGGGACAATCCCCACAACAGATATATATATATATATATATCTTCTGCATCCTTATACAAAACGTTGATACGTACATCATTAGCCAACCACTTCATTCAAGTGCTAGAGGAAGCAATACAAACCCTCTCTCTTGTCGTTTCTATTCTTCCCTTGATCCCACGGAGAGATAGATAGACAGACCCAGAATCAGACATTCGCCCTCTCCCGCTTCCGATGCTCCATCTACACTGCGGATGGCAGCGTGCCTTCACCGCCCTCTGCTTCCAGCACTACTGTGTTCACAGCCATGCCATGGGCGTTGGCACGTTCCGTCTCCGCCTTGATGCGTTGAGAGAGCTGCCGATTCGCACGTCGGTAGTAACCCAACTCGTCCTGTCGCCCTTTAGTGCGTACAACATTCTCCTCTTCAATGGCGTGCAACAGCTGCTCTTCCCGCACCTGCACTGCCCTGCGCTTCGTGAGCAGCAAGCCCCGCTCCTCCTCCAGCTCCTGCAGGCGCCGCTGCAGCACGTCCAGGCCGTCCAGCGCCTCTGCTCGCTGCTTAGCGGCGAAGTACATGGACCGCTCCGCCAGGGACTGGTGGGCGGCTAACGTCTGGTAAAGCTCGTCACGCACACGCAGCATCAGAAGGCCTCGGACCGGCTCCTCTATCGTTATCTGCCTAATGAGTTCGTCAAACACCTCAGCGTAAATCTCGCGCCTAATCGGACAGACACCGCTATCGCGCGCACGCCGCTGCCTCAGTCGCTCCAGGAGTCGCGCGTGCAGCTCCGCCACCTCCACACGTGACGCCGGCTCGGCGGAAACAAGCTCCATCACAGTCTCCCCCGTATCCTTGCGAAAGGTCCGCCGCGGCGGAAGCATTGTGTAGAGGAGCTGCTCGACGTCTGTCAAATTCGCCATGAGAGCCGGCAACACCGCGCCACCCGGGTACGCGACAGACGCCCTGCTGTTGCGTCCCTCCACGAGTGCAGCCTTCGCAGCAGCGGGCGGGGCGGCGGTGCACGGCAGCGCATACGGACGCCACGTCGCCTTCGCGGCCCCG